ACTCATTTAACACTGCAATTTCCCTAGAGGATTATGCACCAAACAGAGATAGCAAGCTCATGAATATTAATCATTTCCCTGAATGCAATGCAGCCCGCCAAACAATAAGATTAGGGGAAAGTGCTATGCTTAATTTATGGATAATGGGAGAGGTAAAGGATAGAGCTCCCACAAAGGTAAGGCTCACAGCTGGAGGGAGAGGCCTCTGAGGAGGAGGACAGATCCAGATTTGTAAGGTAGCAAAAAAACGTTTGAGGCCAAGCAGGAGCGAAAGAAAAAGTGTTTAAGGATCATTGTCAAATTAAAATCATACTTCTCCCTGAACAAGCACTGGGAACTAATGCTGCAAGCATGCCAGAAATTGGTGGTAAATTCAAGAGCTAGATCCGTTTGTTTTCTCTCTTCCTCTACTCTGTGCCTTTTCTTTGTATTTTACATCCCTGAGGCCCTGATCCAACAAACCGCGGAGATGTGTGTCTAACCTGAAACATTCACGTTCTTCAGTGGGACCACTCACACGTGGAAGTTAGCGGGAGCGCTGCCCTATTTTGCTGTAAAAAGGCTTTAGTGAAAAGTCCCTTATAAGCAAAGGAGATAAAGTGTAGCAATAACACCACCAGTAAGATGCGACTGAAAACCCCATAAATTACCAGGCAAACATAAGGGTAGATAGAAGTTCTGAAGCTACTTCCCAGCTGTGTTTCAATGTGTCTATCAGTCTTTACTCATCTCTTTTCATATTACTTTCTCTCCCCCTCCCTTCTTTTTTATTGATCTCTGCATCTTTTTTATTATATCCTTCTCTTTCTTCAGCACTGGCGAGCTAAATCAATGCATAATGCACATCACACTCAACAAAAGGAATGCAAATGAAAGCAGCTCTCTTTTTCAATGTCTGCACATATATCTAGATGCATGTGTACAATGTTGGTGTGTGGGAGAGTGCATACCAAGGACAAGGTGCTCAGCTGCTTGTTAGACACCCATTTCTCAATGGTCCGGAGGGAATGGATCAAGGGCTAAAAAGCTCTGGTTTCCCACAACTGCAAATCATAACTCTTATGACTGGGGTCTGTTTTATACAGGACAGGTCGGCTTGAACTTGGCTGAGATCCGCAGTAATCACAAAAATCGGTTATCCTGGGAGTAATCAAGAGCAAGGTGAAAGAAAAGCAGCCAAGAGGTAGGAGAGGGGTGCATCGGTCACAGTGGACCCGACTCTGATTCGCTTGTCTCCTACAAATCAAAAGGCAAACTGAAACTTTTCCCGTGGGACCAAATTCTGTGCGGAGGAGATAAAATATGCAAAATGCGCTACGCAAAGGGGGTAAAAAAAGTAGAGATGATAAATTTCAGGATGGGGAAGGGTGATTATACCACAGAACTTAAAAAAGGAGCACTGCCAGATGCTTTCATTAATTAATTAATTAATCTCACTGTCGCTTTCCAGTATGTTGCAGGAAGAAAACGCTATTAATCTTATCTGTTTTCTGTTACTCGGCTTTGTATTCAGAGAAGGCCAGGACAGCCTGACAGTAAGACCACACAGTTTTCTTCCCTGCCTCCCTCCTTCCTTCCCCCGTGCCCCTCCTCCCACAGCAGAGCAGATTGATCCACTGTTATCTGATTAGAGAGGAAAGGAGGAGGGAAAACAAAATCGAGGGGGGGAAAAAAAAAAAGTCTAATTTTATTACAGGCACTAGCGCAAAGTGTCTTGAGAGCTTTGTGCCATTTATTCAAAGGAAAGTTGGACCAATTAAAAAACCCCATAAACCTCATGATCCTAAAAGGCAAAGGGAGCAACAGAGATGGAGAACTGCATGCAGGCTGCCTCCATCCTTGGGGATAACCAGAACACGGCTGGACATGACCCTCAGCAACACGCTCCAACTTTGAAGCTGGATCTAACTTTGAAGTTGGCCCTCTTTGGGCCGGAGACCTCCAGAGACTCCTTCCAGCCTAAACTATTCTGTGATTCATGGCTCTAAATCTAAAGCTTGATGGTATTTGCAGGCTCTGTTGTATTTCTCTTCTACCAAGTGAGGTGACTTGAGTGGCCTCTGCTTGGGAAGGCAGAAGCCCGCTTGGGCTTTGCTATCAAACCTCCTCCTATGGAATCCCCCATGACGCCCCGTCAGCCCTGCCTTTGCAAACAAATTGTTTAGTAATTATTTTCAGCCACGTGGGACCCGATCCTGCAGACAATTTGTGACAAGCATTGCATTCACTGTTGCGGTTAGATTTGCTGAAGTCTAAAGAACGCCTTGTGGTAGTTCAGAGACATGCCTGGAAGGAAGCGTTTGCAAGATCAAACCCTGAGGCCCCCAATTCAGCAAAGCCTCTGAACATGTGTTTGAGGCTCACTGAATTCTTTGGTGAAGAGGAGTGATTCCCGAGGCTCTAAAAAGCTACATAATACAACCAGAACATCACTGCAAAAATAACACTGTCTGAAATAATTACTTGTTGTCCTACAGGATTATAACATGTGTTAGCCTTATAAACATGGAAATAAATTATACTTATTTTTCTGTGCTCTCAAACAGGGACCCAAGCACTCTGTATTTTCCAAGAAAACACCCCACCAGTCTCAAAGAAGACTTTTGTTTGGCTAAAGCCAGAGGATCTGGTCTGATATTATTAGATTATGGAGAATGCGGAATTTCTGCTCTTTTTAATTATTATTTATTATGTAACATGTACAGTCATTCCAACAGCTTCCCTAACATCTTTATGCTTTCTGGTGACATTTTAATGCTTGATATGTCAAAACAGAATACAAGTCAGCACTGCTCATTGGTCTGAAAAATGAGCCAGCAGTTTCTCTCTAGCTCTTGATGTCCTCATTCATGGTGGTCCAGCACCCATAGAAGCCAACAGGACCTGTTTCACTGGTATTACCTTCTCTGAACCTTTCCTAGGACTTGATGAAGGCCGTGTCTGCCCCAAAACAACAGCAGCTGACTGACCCTCGCAGACCCTGCACGCACACCGAGGCAATCACCGCCACAACAGTCGCACCACCACAATGGTAACGTCACGCAAGAGAACACTCGTAGAGTCTGCATCCATGCACCTTTCCATTGGTTCATCATTTGATTCACCTAAGTGAATCCCCATATTCAGTATTTCACAAACAACTGAATTTGATTTCATTCGCTTTTGTAATCCAGGACCTGTGCACAACCATGAACTTGCAAAGCCCATGACAAACAAAGAACTTTTCACCTCTGGAATTCCCCTTTCTTTTTCAACACAAGCAAATCTGAAAAATCACTTCCTCTGTAATGGCATAGAAAAAGTCGTGTGTATGTTTTAGCTGCTTCATTTTCTAATCTTATTGCTGTCAGACAGGTTTTTTCCATGCTCTCCACCAGCCCTATTGCTAATACCGGAGATGAACGTGTACACCAGCATGAATCAGGCTCCTGCACTCACCTGGCAGGACACCACTGCACGGTCCAAGGCGTGGGACACCCCGCTCTTACTCCTGTCCGTGGATTTATTTGGAGCATGATGCAGCTGCTGCCCAGCCCACACAACCCAGTTTCCTTGAGAACCAGTGTCCGCAGGGGAGGATGTGGGTCATGTCCTAACGTAACGCTGGGAAGTGGTCGAAGTACAGACCTGGACCAAGGTGCTCAGACCTGCTGCTGAGCAGGGTGATACAGCTCCAACCCAACCCTTGCTGAAACTAGCCTTGCACTGTGCCTGACTTTTGGAGAACCCAAAATATTTGCATAAGTGTTTATCTCACTTTCAAAATATTATGACTAATATCTTTCAGTGCTTGAGGCTCTAACAGCAAGTTACTTGAAACACAAACGTAACTTCAAGACCACCAATAGTCACAATTAGCCTCGACCATAAATACTCTCAGATTTCAATAGAGCAATTTACATATGTAAATATGCAAATAAGCACATCACAAATCAGGCCTCAAGTACCACAGCGTGGGACACTGAAGTAAAAACGTAGCCATTACGACAAGACAAGCGGTCCCCAGCTTACCACCCAAGGGAAAGATGGTGCCTGTGAGGTCCTTTACGTGTTGCTCCAGGAACAAGAGATAATCATCCATTTGCCAAAAAGACCAAATTTCAGTCTTGCCAACACTGTATTATCTGTTTAGGATTGATGTCCTGAGCTGAAGGCATGGGATCACTGGATGGGACAGAGTATTTGCTTGGCCAGTCCAGATAAGAAATCTCACAAAACATCTTGAGAAAAAGCTGACCCCTTATAAACATTAACTTTGGTTTCAGAAGCTCTGCATTTCATCCTTCCCCAGACCTCGCTGAGCCCTGGTTGGAAAATGCAGAGCTACTCCACAGAAGGTGCAACGTAAACTGGTCTCCATTTCCCTTCTCTGCCCCCAGCATTCCTAGAGAGTTTAATAAATATGTAAAGCTCACAACTGCAGCCCTGCTATCCCGATAGCTCGAGCATCTTCCGGCCATTGTCCTTACAGGTTTTGCTAATCAGAGCAAACCAGGCTTGCAAATGAAATCTGATTAAGTAGTTTTCACCTCTGAAAAAGGGGATTAGCTAGACCTTTGATCCTCAGATATTGATTTGCAACTCAAAGGAGGTGTGACCTCAGCTGGACTTGCTTCTGGTTTCAGTCCCTTCCCCTTTCACTCCTCCTCCTGTTTACCAGAAAAAATCAGTTCATGTCTTCTCACGTAGCCAGATCTAAAGCCTATTGAAGCCAGTGGAAAACCACCCACTGACTTCAATGGGCTTTGGATCAGTCCCACAATGGCTGACTTAGCCTTAAGTCCTGGGCTGTTTCAAAGCCAGCAGAACCAATTTCCCATCAAAATGACCAGAAGCTGGGAAGATATGTTCGCCTTTCAAACCTACAAATTCCACCCTTTTTTCTCTCTTCCATGACAACTCTTTGGCTGGAAATGCTGAAAATACTGTTGTTTTTCTTACTTGCACTCTGTGTAGAGTTGTTGCCCACCGTGAGTGGAAGAGCTCTGAGCCAGACTTACCAATGCAATTAAAGGATAACTCCTGCAGGCAGAATAGGGAGCAGCCATCACCGTTGATCTTATTCATATCATCGCATTCTTCCCCCAAGTCTCTGTAGGCAGGGCACACACATGCAAAAAGGAGTTAGATGGCAAATGGCATCATCCTGATCATCACTGCAACCCCTCCACAGAACCCCAAAGCCCTGAAATCCAGTACAGCGGCTTTGCGTGCTGACTCTTAAAATACCTCCCCCTTTCTCCTCCAGCTCTGACTTTCATCATTCCTGGTTCACAAGCTCGCCTGGCCACTTCTCTCCTGCACATGTGGATACCACTTGCTGTTCTCTGATGAAGATATGAGCAACTTCCTTCATAGCTGGTGTGGCTGCAACTCAGCAGGTGGGGAAAAAGAGAACAGGAATCTCTGAAAACTCTTTGTATTAAATCTGGAAGGGCCAGACTGTGACCCCAGCATGGGAATAACAAGACATAAAGCCTGGTGCTGGGCTGTTCCACGTGACAGCACTCGGAGGACAGCAGTCGATAGGGAGCAGGTGGTGTCGGGGACGGGGTCCTGCCTTGCGCCAGCCTGCACGGTTGCAGCCGCGTGCAGGAGAAGAGTGTGAACCAGATGAGAAAGGGGCTGCCACAGCTGCAAGTGGGGCCACAACCAACCAAGCTGTGACACAGTCTGGTTCCTGCTTGCTCCTGAGGCAGCTCAGCTATTGTTTGACGCTTGCTGCAAAGCCACAAGTGATGTCTGAGGAATGTGCAAACATAACAGTAGGAGAAAAGTTATGGAAAGCAAAATTAATCTGTCTTTCTCCATCTCCCTCTCCAAGACTGTCCTGGATTCATATGTCGTTTGACTGTTCTCTTTGATTTCCCTGCCTGTTGGGCCCCATCCTGCAAATAGTTGCTGCCAGGTGTATCATCTGACAGAGTTATACTACCTGATTGCTGATCAGCATTATTTCAAGCAAGTAATACTGGCTGGATTAAGCACTTGCTTGTTGTTACTTCCATAGTTTAAATAATTAAATTACCTAATGCCAGGAAGCTTTGGACCAGGTGGCCTTAAGGGCAAACATAGTAAAAGAATAAACCCTAAAACAGTTGCGAATGATTGTTTTACATTTTCAGTGGTCTGGGGACTGGCAGCTGGCGAGAGGGAGGAACTGACTGAGAACACGCAATACACAGCACTCTCCCTCCCAGGCCAAATCTATCACCTCCAAATGCATCCCGGCTCCGGTGGTTGGTCAAACAAGAGGTTGCACCAGGAACCTGTCCCAACATGTGGCAGGGTTTTACCCTCTCCACCAGCTGCCAGGCACATGGGACTCCGTGTGTAAGGACAGCATCAAAGGCTCTGTGAATTTTCCCAGCACTTACTTCAGCTCCATACAGCAAATGTCATATATATGTATAAAGATACAGATACATGAACAAAAAGCATAAACAGCATATAGCGTACTTTCATATCGATCCTGCTGTCTGGACTCCATTATCTGTATCTCTGTCTGTATCTACTGGTGCCAGGATAGCAGGGCCTAAGTTCCAATTAAATGCCATCATCCTGGTAATCATCAAGCACATGAGTCATTATCTACAGATGAGAGCTGGCCTAGACTAAGGAGACATCAGAGGTCATCAATTCCTTTCTAGTCTCAGATTCTGGCTGAGTAGATGTGCCCAGATTTATCTGTTTGCTCGCTCCAGACTTACATTTGGATAATCCCGTCTCCACAGTATCCACTTCCAGAGACATACACAAGTGTGGGGGAAGGCTCGCTCTCCTCCATCCTGGAAACAATGATGACCTGGTATGTGTACGTGGTCCTATCGCTCAGTTCCCTGCAAGACAAAAGGAAATATTAAGTGATCGGTATAACAAAGGCAGTAGCAAAGGGCAGAGGAGTTACTGAAATGGGTGTTGGCTGCCAAAAAAGCAAGTTTAGTTAAATCAGAAAATTCTTGCCTCGTTTTGATGGGATTAATTTTTGGTTGGGTGTCTTTTTCTTGTGAGCACAATCAGCTCTACCTACATCCATGCTTGATTTATGCACAGCTCTGAAATAGGTGCAACTCTTGACTATTTGACAGCTAAACTATTTGCTGATGAAAACCACGCAGTTCGGTGTGCTGCTGCTTCCACCTGTACCCACTGTAGAGATGGCATTGCACTGACACCATGGCGTCAATCCTCACCACGTGCAGCGGGAAACGGTGACGGCATTAGCGACAGCCCACAGTCCTGCAGCATTTGAGAAGCCAGCCCTGTGCTTCACTCTGAAGCCTTGGACGCTTCTGCTCCCATCTCTCCATGGCAGGGACAGTGTTACCTGCAAGTTTGTGGCATAGTTCGTTTAAGGAACTTAAAATACCCTTTAAACACCAATTACTTCCTCAACAGCCCTGAGCTCAATCCAACTGCAGCTGGAGCCAGTGGGAATTTGCCTATTGAGTTAAGACAGAATTGGGCTGGGGATGTTTCAGTGACGGAGAAATAAGTTATCCACTTTCATACAGGTATTAAAACACTAGAGTTAAAAAGAAGGTTTATTCCTCTCCAGGAGAATGCAAAAAATAGGATCCACACTACAGTACCAGATCACGGTATTAGCATCAAAATATTCACAGAAAGAATTAGCAAACTGTTACATATTTATGCAAAGCCATAATTACCTAAATCCTGTGCATCTGTAAGTGAGGAATATTTTTTTTTATATGCAATAAAGAAATACTATAAGCCTAATATAAATGTTTAGCTCTTTTACAATGTCTTTTACATTATCAGAACTCAAAACGTTCCACAAAGGAACTCATTACCATTATCCTCATTGTGCCGATTTGTAAAGCCACGGAGTGGCCAAGGCAAAATGATTTACTCAAAGTCATCAATCAGGCTAATTGCAGAGCCCATAACGCAACCCAGCTCTTTCCTAACCCATGCCAGTCCTCTACTTACTACGCTCATATTGCCCCACTTACTGACAGCAATATACATGTCTTTTTGTCACAGGAACTTGGTCAAAAAGCATGTATTAATGAAGTCTGTACTATGAAGAGATACATCCACTACCCAGAGCAACAAAGCCACTGAAGTAGGTATCAATGAACCGTAGTTACTGAAATCTTCAAGTTTGTGAAATAAGTATCTCCTTACAACACTCATTAAATTAGCAAGCATGACTTAAACTCCAGTATCACACGTTATATTTTACAACAAAGCTGTCTTCTCATGGATACTAGGCCTCCAAAAAACGGTCAGTAAATGAATTGCACACAAACGGCCCTGGGATTTCATTCCTTGTTACCACACTTGAAATGGGGAGTGAAACTCAGTGGAACAAAAACACAACACAACCGCCTTTCTCATTGCTTCTTCACCTGATTCCTGTCGGCAACAGTCTGTGGCTCCTATTAGGTAGATTTGAGAGTTCACGTAGCACGAACAGTATCTTAATTCACCTACAGACTGGGGAGACATCTACCCAGATATTGGTGAGAGTGTTTATTCAACCAAAGTGAAAAAACTCAAACTTCTGCCCTTGGGACCTGTTTAAAACAACTGTTTTGAAAAAAAATAATAAATTATAGGAAGTAACTTAAGTGGCCAAACACACACTGATGTGTAATACTGAGGGTTTCCTCTAGATTTCACTCCCGGATAAATCCACTTATTAAGACGGAAAGTTTCTGATATATACTGATGAAATCAAAGCAGAGGCAAACTTTGATTATTAAAGAGCAGTGATTTCTCAAGCTCTTTCTCAAAACCATTCGTAAAATATTTAAGATTAACAAGTATACTTGCAGAAATGTGGATTTTGTCACTGGGGATCTGCTAACCACAAAAAAGGTTCAATTCTTAGAATAGACTGTTAACAAATGAACAGTTTGAACAGTTATAACAGTTACAAAATAAATAAATCCCATGCTGCTTTCTGATGCGCTGAGGTCACACGCGCGAGTGCAAAACAGTAGCTTTTTGATTTTTTTTCTGTGATTTCCACCGATCCTCATAGGTGCTGGGTAGGCATTCAGCTCACAGCAGAAAGTGTGCCTCTGCGAGTGTGTTTTAGTATGTGGGAGTGTTTGTGTATGCCTGTGTGTACATGTAAGCAAACGGAAAACAGGAAAAGTTCACATTTGTTTATGTACAGGGCGGGAAGTTGGCAGAACATAATGGAAGAAGACATAGTACTAAATTAAGTACGGGAGAGAATATGGTGTTTATGAATTATTAGGTGACTGGAGATGAATGCGTATGTGGGTGAGTAAGACATAAAACTGGAAATGAAAGTTATTAGGTGGGGAGAACTCTGGCACATTTAACTGTACGGATTGTGAATGCAAAACTGCGTATGGGGAGAGGACCCTGTGGACGTCGGAGACGAGCGAGTGCTGGCTTCGGGGCACTGGGCTTTGGTCTAATCCTGTCACCTGCTACATGCTGGTGAGGGGAGATTTCCAACTGCAGCCTGCAGCTCAAAAATGGAAAGCTCTTGGAGAAGTGGTATGTCCTAACAGGCATATGATCCTTATAGTTTAGTGACAGGGGAAAAAAGGCCATTTCTTCTCTAAAATAGAAGGTGAGCAAAATACCTGACTTCTTACACCTACATTTAGGTATCTGCACAGCCTGGCATCCCTTAGTTCTACACAGCTCAGGTACAAAATAGCTCTTAAGTTATTTATGCTCACAATAGCCCATGAGCTATGAACGTCATACCTTGTCTTAGGTCAAAATACAGGGAAAAGGAAGACAAACGCCTAGAGATGTATGGTCCCTGTAAAGCAATGTCAGGACTGGGAGCCAGCGCTCCAGTCCCACACTGCAGCCGCGGGGCCAATCCTCCAATCCTCATGCCGGTTCCCCTTTCGGACAGCCCAGTCAAGAGCAACCTGGAGCTTCACAACCCTCCCCACAGTGGGGACAGCAGAGAGGCCCCAGGCTGTCACACCAGGGCAGCAACAACAAACCAGCCATGCCCAGAGATCATCAGAAATGGGAGCATGTGTGCTCCAGAGGTGCCCTCCAGCATCACGGCATTGGAGCTGGAGATGTGCCTTGACTGGAGCACCAGAAAGCCACCTTAGAAACTCAAAACTCAAGCCATCACGCTCTCAGCTCACCCTGGCCTGATGCAACTAGTGGCAAAAACCCGACTGCAGCTGACTTGCCTGGATGTGGCATTTAAGTCTCAACAACTGGAACTTGAGATGCTTCCATCCTCCTGAACTGTTAAATATATCATATCAGCAGCAACTGAGAGCTTTAGCATTCCTTCACAGTACCCACATTTCGGAAAAATATAGCTGCTAAAGGGATGATATGTGCAATACTAAAGGCAGTAATCCAGTACCATAGTGAGAGAGGAAGGAAGGAATGCAGTAACAAAGGGAAAAAAAGCAAAAAAAAGAATTTATTCTCTCCTATATAGTTACGGGGCACCAAGGTCAATATTACAGACTGTATCTGGAGTTGTCAGCAAGACAAACTCTGCTACAAGTGGTGATAAAAGAGCGATTTTTGACCATTTATTTTCTCTCCCGCCTTCCCTCAGAGCTGATGGCACACTAACAGCGATAACATGCTCTTTCCACTCTGCTGTCAGGCAGGTCTGACGCATGGCAGCTTCGTACGATGCTACTTAAGGAAGTGAGACAGAAGAACATCTTTAACATTAAGGATGTGAACAAACAGTCTTTTAAATTTATATCTATGGTCTTTTAATGACCTTTTCGAGAACTGAGTAAGCCGCATTGATCGCTGCAGCTTCCGCCCGTGGGGAGGCAGTCTTATTAAAAAGCAATGACTCAAGCCCTCTGCTTAGAGGGGGAATTAGAACGTGCCGTGTGAAATACCACGAGGGCAACTTTCCTGTCTGCTGTGGCGAGTGACGGATCCAGGGTCAGAAACATAAACCCCTCTAATTCTTTTCCTGTTTTTACTGAGGAGGCTGGGCAGTTGAGTTAATCTGGCTGTGTCCCCCAGGCAAGGGACCTCTGCTTTCAGTTTGGGTGTTCCTGTAAAACTTACAGGAAAAATTACACCTCTGGGAAGTAGTTTTCTACTCAGATCACGGTGGGTTTAAAGGATCATTGAATTTACAGCAGCAACACGCATGCCCTCGAGTGCCGGCACATCTGCAAGGGCTGACACTGCCCCAACCACATCTGCGCTGTGCCCACTGTAGGGCTTCAGCATCTGAAGACACAGTGCGGCACTCAAGATGCAGTGAAAGCACCGAGGGAAAGCAAACGTCCCGCGCCCCTCTCCCCACTACAATGACATATATGTTTTTCCTACTACAAGTAACAGCAGGGAGGGGTTTTATACAGCAAAGACTTGTTTCCAACAAAATTGAAAATATCCTTAAGGCTGATCCCAGCTTCTGCCCTATGAAAACATAAATGGCCAGAAAGCAATGAAAGCAGACAGTGTTCCTATCATTTAAGGACAGGACAACAAGGTCTTAGGTATCCCCAATTAAATTATGGCTGTCAGAGGCACTGTCATGTGAAATAGGCAAATTCTGCACCTCAAGTGTGCCCATGAAGGATCCATCTTTCTTTGACCTTAAATAGCCACCAAACTCTTGAGCCAAAAGACGTTTCATGAACAGCTCTCCACAGCCCAGAACGAGCCTTGGTCTGCCAGCAACGTGCCTGTTTCCCTCTAACACTGTCACCTTTGCTCTTCTTCCCTAGCAAGGAAGCCTTGCTGAGCAAGACAGGAAATCTGCCGGTAGCAAACAGCAGCAACCTCGCATCTTCACTTGTTGCAATGCTCTGCATCGGCTGCTCAAGGTGGACCGAATACAACCGCACACAGAAGAGCGGAAAGT